GTTCTTTGTTAAGAGAGATCGTGAGAAAACAAATTGAAGGATAGATTTCAATTTCTTAAAAAACATCTCTTTTTTTTTTCGTCATACAAAAATATCTTAATTTTAAGAGTTTTTAGCACAATTACTTCCGAACTTGTTGTGGTTAGCAAATTGAACTCTAAATTTTTAATTTTGACAATCAACCTTTCGAACTTATAAAATTGTTGAAATGTGCATATTTTATTAAATTTGTTCAAATGTCTTATCAATTTTAAGGGATTAAAAGTTAAAAAATTAAAAGATTTATGTTACATTTGAATTGGAATGTTAATTTTTTTTTGGAACGTGTGGTTGATATTATCTCTTTAGAACTATAACTTCTTGCTTTAGAGGGATAATCCATCAAACTGGATCAACTATTAACAAGTAATTCGAATGTCACGGAGACGTTTGGTTCATGGATTAGAATCATGTTATTAGAATTATTTTTAATTTACGTGTATTTTTTATAAAAAAAAATACTATAATAAACTATAAACTATAATTCAAATCATGATTTAAATCCTTTAATCAAACATCATCGGTCAAGGAATGCGGAAATATTACAGGGATTCACAAATTTTTCACCTACCCAGTACGAAACCTTTCCCTTTTCTCTCCTTGTGGTTGTGGGTGCCTATTCACGAGTGTTCCTTGTTAAGTTCACCGACTTAAACTTTGGTCCCACGTATTATTCATTTATTCTTCATAATTAAAGTGCTGCTTTATTGAATTATAATTTCCTCAGACATAAATTCGGAAATGGACATAGCATATGTACAATGCAAGTACTCTTTTATGTAAAATGAGTCGTGCATCTAATTGTCCTTTATTTTTTCTCTTTTTTTCTTTTCTTTTTAAATTTTTTTATACGTTAATCTATATTTTTTAACCGTTAAATTTATATAAAATAACGTAAAAATTAAAACGTAAACAGATTCAACAGTTAGAACAACATGATCTACCGGCACACTAGAATACTAGAAAATCTTCCTTTCTTTTAAGGTTGTCACATAAAAATTGCCAATAATGTTTATTTTGAGTACAAAAAATTTTAAGATTATTTTCATAAATGCCCTCTAAAGTATGTATCATGTTTCAAAGCATTTTTTAATTTTTCAAAACAGTTTAAAATACTCATGATTTATAGAAAACGATTCAAAACACCCACTGTGTCTAGTTCTGTCTATAATCCGTTAGAATTTGCTAATGTAGCACTAATTTTAAAATATTAAAACTTAATTTAAGTTAAAAAAAATATTAATTACTAAAAAATGAGAAAGGTTCAGGATATAAAGATTAAAAAAAAAAGCTTTTGAAATTATTTACCAAAAAAAAAAAAAACAAGAACAAAAATCCCAAAACAAAAATCCCCATCTAGAAAACATCAGACAAACTACCTCTGCATCAACACCAGTGGCAACGAAGCTCCACCCCTCCTTCGACGATAACGGTTTTCTCGACCTACAAATGCCAAAGCTCGCGCTTGCCTCCATTGTGAATGAAGCCCCTTTAATCACCCACGACGCATGAGAGATGTAGGAGTTGTTCTTTTAGAGTGTAATTTGAGTGTAGTTTTTGAGTTGAATTTGAGTTATAATTTGAGTTGAAGTTGTAACTTGAATAAAGTTGAGTAAAATTGAATAAAATTGAAACTTAAAAGAAGGTGAACTTAAATAAAGTTAGAACTCGAGTTATATTTTTTTAAATTTTTTAAACAAAAGAACATGTCCGTACTTTCCCACGATTCAAAATCATAACCAAATATCTTAAATCAACAAATTTTGAATCAATATCACATTGTCTGTGCAACCTAACAAAAAAGAAAAATCCTTATCAAAACACCCAAGTTGGTCACCGGAAAAGGGGGTGTGGTCTGGTTGATAACTTTTTATTTTTTATTTTTAATGATTTGTTTGCTAAAGACCTTTGTTATTTTTTGTTTTTTTACGTTTATGTGATCATTTCTAATATTTAATCTTTTTTTATAGATTTAATTAGAAATTAGTGCCTCTAGTTAACTTCTAATGTTATGTCATGTCAGTAAAAATGTTAAGCTTATAGACGGAATATGATGAAAGATACATTATGATTAATTTTGTGTATATTAAGAGTATTTTAAACTGTTTTTAAAAATTAGAAGGACATTTTAAAATATAATACATATTTAAAAGGCATTGATAAAAATAATCTAAAATTTTAATAAAAAAATCTTCAATTTACACCTTACAAAAACTTTATAATAATGTTTCTTCTTTTTTAAATCATACCTTATAATGGTGTAATTATAACTTTTTGTTCAAAACTTCAACTTTTAGTGGGGCTACTGATATCAATCAAGCCACGTGTCAAAGTAGAAAGTGAAGATGATGATGGGACATGAGAGTGAGATGTAGACAAGGTTTTGTGAAAAAAGAAGAGTACCAGACCGTACGTTGCGCCACTTTTTAATCATAATGAAAGTACATTTCCTTTTTAGCTTCCATTTTTATATTTTATTTGTTTTCTTTTAACAGGTGTGTTATTTTATATTTGGTTGATTATTAGGAGACGACGTTTGGTTAGAGAATTCAAATTATGATTTAAATAATATTTTATAATTTATTATAATATTTTTTTTATAAAAATTATACGTAAATAAAAAATAATTCTAATATATGAATCAAACGTCTTCTTATTCATTCTTTTTGATCCCCACATTTATTTTTCTTTTGAAAAAAAAAGAAAATTTACTAAGGAGCACTAAAGTGCTTTGAACATCGAAATATGTATATGATTACATATATATACTTCTTGTCTTTTTTTTTTATATTTTTATATTCGAATTTTTAGTAGTGGTGCTAAAAATTTCTTAGCACTAAATGAATTAAAGTATGACTATGTAAATATGAAAGGATGATTAATTTCATACCAATTTTAAACATTTGTATACATTGGTTATTAATGCCAGGGACATGGGTTGAATTTTTTTTTTCTAATTAATTTACTTATTTTCCCCGTATTTTATGTTCTTAAATTTATTTGGAGTACTCTAGACCAATGTGAAAAAAATTACCAAGGTTTTTGTCATTGGTGGAAGGGACCTCGAATCACGTGACGTGACAGGGAAAATTGGTGATCCCAAAGCAAAAGCACAGCACATGCATTGGTCATGTGCATGTTAAGATTGGCTAATTAAAAATTTCGGCGACTATTATGGGATTGAATTTGCGAATCCCATATTTATTTATTTATTATTATTATTGCTATTATTTATGCTAGAAAACTATTCATTTCTTCTTAAAAGATCTTTGTTTTTTTTTTTTTTGGTACGCTAATAAGAAAAATTGCATAAGTTTTTCACAAAAATAATACGGATGAATATAACTCAAAGTCAAACTTCAAAATTTACACCAGATTTAACATTATTTTAGTGAAAAGTTCTGTGCTAAACAAAACTTCACAGTTGAGGCCCCCAGTTTGTGCAGTTGCCCAAACGTGCGTCTCAGAGGGCCGAAGGAAAAGGTTTCAATCCATTTTTTGCACCGACTAAAAAACAGGGAATTCTTTACGTGAAAATGCATGAGAGTGTATTAAATAGGATGATGTCGGTGGACATGGGCCGTGGGCCCAACTTGCACGAGATAATGAGTGAGTTGGTACCTTCGGCACGTGGGCTGCGGTGGAGATGGGAGACAACTCTATCACCGAGAGACACTTTGCACGCAAATGAGACTTACATCTCGTTACGTGTTCCATTACTATTGGCTGCAAATGACTCGTATTAAATTATCCTAATTTTACATCCAAATTCATTGAAACATTAAAAAATATTATTGTCTGTTTATGGAATTATTTAACGAAGAACATGCTCATATATAGTAAGGCAATTAACATTTTTGGTTAGTGACGTTGGAGACAATCTTGTTACTTTTAGTCGGCTTTCTTTGGCCATTCTTATGATTGTTAGACTACCAAGTAATCTCTAAAGATTCAACTTAATTTGGCGTTTTTTCATAACTAAAAAGAAACTTAATTTGGCGCTTTATCAAAAAATAAATTAAGAGAAACATAGTTTGGCGTACATTATTCAAATAAATCTTGAATAAGTTGTTACGACTTCATTAACAAAATGAACAACCTAAACGTTTTTATCTTTGCACTTGTGGAAAAACATTAAGATTTATTTATTTTTTCCTGTTTAATGTTCATGTATTTCACCATAAACCTATGATTTCTTAATATGCAATACAAATGTGCATTTTCCTGTCATGTTTATATTCCTTTTCTGACGGAAGCGGAAGCACCTTTACGACTTTTCCGGGAATCTAGCACTAAATTTGTTTCTTTTTTCTTTACTTTTGCTTTATTTGTTTTCCACTAAAACTAGTATTATGGAAATTGTTCACTTTTACCACATTATCATCAAGTGGAGAGGATAAAATCCCACGTGAGTCCGTAAAATAATGAGCTCACACGTGTACTAAAAAATGTAAAAGTCACATGGGTAGCCTTTAGAGGGATAAGAATCAAAATCCCAAACGATTAAAAACTACAAGAACTCACATGAGCATTTCTCAATCGATATTACCTAGTTGAACAAGAAATATTTAGTAGGCTAACCATTGCCACCTTCTTTTCTCTTTTTGGTGGAAACAGATCCCATGTTCTTAATAAACCTTGGGAAATAGATGGGTAGTAATTAAAAGATAAAAAATTTAAACTCACGCATTCTTAAAAATAAGTAAAATAAATTCAGTACTACTACCGTAGAACTAAAAAAATAAATAAATTTTAGACCTCTCATAAGCTACTGCAAATCATATTTACATAAAATATCATTTTTAAGATCCATATTTAGAATATATCTTAAATTTAATGATATTGTCAATCCCTCCATTTTATTTAATAGTTATTGAGATAATATCATTCTGTATATATCTGTTTTTTCATCTTGCCGTTTTGAGCTTTTGATTATACATCATAAACACATGACAATAGGAGGTCACTAATCTTCCAAGTACTACAAAAAACCAAACATGTAATTCAAGTGTCACCAGTAGGACCACCAAAACTAAAAAAAATCCTGTCCCCTTCATCTCGCAACCACTTCTCAACTGAATCCTAATTCCAAAACATAAAAGCTGAAAGCAATACAGAAATAGCTTCATTAACTAGATAATAAAACATTCTCATTTTGGAGTATTACAAAAAACCCACATCAAACCATGAAATCCTCTTCAAAGTTCACACACCAACCATTCCCCTCTATTAGCAAAATAAAAAAATGAAGCGTATGAATGCAAGCACACAAATTCTACTCCTCATTCTGACTTTCATCTTTGACAAGCTTTATCATGTCATCAATTCGAAGAATTGTTATGGCAGCTTCCGTTGCAAACTGAACAGCAGAAAAATTTACAAAAACGAATCAGAAGCTTGTAATCACACAGCCAATAATCAATACAATAGCGTGTACGAGTTCTACCTGAATTATTTTGACTTTGCTCATTGCAGGCTCAATGACTCCAGCTTCCAAGTTGTTGCGAACGGCTCCCTTTATGAGGTCCAATCCCATGCTACAAAAGTTCCAGATGAGCCAAGAATTTAGTCTTAGAACAAGTGTTCAAAGTTAGAAAAATGCGTTTTGGTTGAAACAACTACTATTTAATCCAAGGAATATTCACAATCTACAAGTTCCATTGGTCCTCAAACTCTGCTGTGTAATACTTTATAGGTTATATTACCATCCAACAAACTATTTGCACACTTTCGGCTAAATTAATATATGTAGAAATTGGAAGAAAAATAAAGGAAGATGGCCAGATAGGGGCAATGAAAAATCAGATACTCAGGCAGCAAGTAGAATACCTAGATAAATGCTTCTTATCAGCCTTAGTTTGTGCAGCATGATGGTATGCCCGCAATTTTGCCACCAACTCCGTTGCATCCTTGGCGGCATTGACAGCGAGCACCTGCACAGAGAAAGATCAATGGCATCTACATTATATTTCTAAGATCACAGTTGAAGGGGATGGGTGACCTCCTGGGAAGTCCTCGTGTTGCACCCCTCTTTTAAAGAAGAGAAAAAAAGATCACAGTTGAAGGGACATATCATTCACCTATGCCAAGGTAGAAAATTATACCTTGGGTATTATTAGCAAAGATTCAGCAAACTCAGCAATCGCCAACTGCTCACGTGATCCCAAAGTCGTCGCAAGATACTCCAGATACACAGATAACGCAGCCTCAACTGCCCCACCACCCGCTACCACCTGTTTAATCAATTGATATCAAATGAATCCAAATAGCTTAAAGAACAATTAAATGGGCGTACGAGGTCACCCAGCATAAAACCAAGAAAAACCTGTTAAACATTTCAATTCCTTTTCCTGAAACCACAGCATCTCTCAGATTTCCTCGATACGATATTGATACCACAGATAAAAATGTTACATGACCAATTATTAGGGGCACGACTTGAAGTTTAGAATAAATTCCCCTCTTATGCACAATACTCCATTCACGCCATCTAGTTGGGCAACCAAGATAACAAAATTTAGAAACAAAGTGATTAACTCAAGAGGATTTTGATCGTTTAAATTCTGCGAAGACAGGTGTGAATAAAAGCTAGCTTGGGGTGTTACTAAAAGAATTCAAGCCATTCTCCTATTTCATTAGTTTCAGCCCGGAAAAAAGGAGGGAAGATTCACTCAACTACTTAATTAAGCAAGCTGGGAAGAGCAAACTTCTTGAAATAACAATTAAAAAACACTCTCTATTTTAGATATTGCTAGCACACCAAAGAAAAAGTACTCAGGAAATGACAAATTTACCGTGTTTGATTCCAGGGTCCTCTTCACAATGGATAAAGAATCATGCAAAGCTCTCTCCATCTCATCAAGCATATAGTCATTGGCACCCCTCAGGATCACCGAAACCTGTAAAATAATGTGTCCCATTAAAAAATCCATTTTCCTAAAATAACTGCTACGAAACCAATGAAGGTACCATGCGTGACATTAGAATGCAGAATTATTTTGTGGTGGGTTATTCCAAATAAGTCTAACACTTTTAAAAGCCATCATTTTTTATTTTTATTTCTTTTTTTCAAGAAAAGGGTTTTCTATTTTTGAGGGGGGCTTGAAAAGAACCATAGTTTATTAAGGGTGCTTATTTTGTTGCAAAGGAAAAGGTTTTGAGTTAATTTAAGGCAATTAACCCCAGCATTTTAATTGTGTACCATATGTTGAGTTTAATTCAAATGACTCACTGCGCTTGTAGTTTTGGTCCCTTTTATCAAAATCACGTCATCATCAGCAATGCGCTCCTCCACAACTTCATCTGCAGATCCAAGAAATGATGGCTCGAATGTTTCCTCCCCTTCCATATCAGCAAATGTTGAGACCTGAAGGCCCATCAACATAATGAAAAGTCAAACATCATAACACTATTAGACCAGCCACATTACTGTGCAACTAGTCATAAAATTCATGGACATCCTTGAATGATAGGAACCAAAAAAAAAAAATACTACCATTATCCAAATTGTTCCCTCAGTACCATGTGATAAGCAGATGTTTAACAATAATCAGAAGCAATGAAACATGCTCAATATAGAAACAGAGTTGGCAAATTACCAGAGTTGCGCCAGTAGCCTTGGCAACATGCCGCATATCCTCTTTCCGAACACGTCTTACGGCAATAGCCCCAGCCTCAACGAAATACTGCAAAAATGAGAATGATAAGCAGGAAATTTAAAAACTAAACAAATGAATAGGAGTTATTTAGACATAAAGTAAATAAAAGAAGACTTTAACACGCATGTAATGACCCTTGTCATATTATGACCAGGACGCATACATAAAGCTACACCAAAAAATCTTCAGCAAGTGCAGAACCAAACCAAACAGAAGGAATTGAGTAAAAGATGCAATCATATAGCAAAAGATGCGCTCCATTCAGCTTGGAACTTGGAAAAAATGTGGCATGACATACAAATCACTAGCAAGATAAATGGATGTTGCGTGTCACTAAAGCATTTTGAGAAATGCAGAAAAAGAAGTTTGCCTTGAGTGCCATGTCGTCAATCCCTTTTGTAGTCAGAACCACATTCGCTCCAGCTTTGAGAAGTTTCTCAATGCGTTCTTTGGTCATATCCACTTCCCTGTTAGGACATGCATATAGCCAGTTAAATAAAACATCATTAAGAAAGGAACTATGAAGTCTACTCACTGCTCACCTTTGACGAATTTTTTCAAGTTCTCTGGGATCAGTTACTAAAACTTGAACACCCAATTGCATTTTCGTTTTCTGAAGATTAAAGTCAATACAGGCGATTCTTGCAGGGGAAACTCTCATAGGCATTCCTTGTGCAGCACGACCTGTATTTAGAGCATATCCATTCAAGAGATAACTGTCTTTTGCACTTTTTCCATGAGCTTTCAAAATATTTATCCCCTGGAACAGTAAAAGAGGACACGTTTCAATACGTGCAATTAGAGCCTTGCAAAGAAACCATGAAATTTTGCTGGATTACAATTTTTACAATGCTAACATAATAGATCACATGCATCCCCCTAAATCATATACACAGACCATATAACCTTCATTATAGACATATAAAGTAAATCAACAGTTACGAACCTTGATTGGGTATCTGATTTCCCCCCTAGCATTTGTCATCTTTACAGCTTGTACTGCATCCACAACCTAGAAAGAATAACTTATGTTAATACATCCAGAATCCAAGCAGAAAAACCGAATACCAATAATACAATCATAATAAGAAAGAACGACTCTAATTAAGGCTGCTCTTGTCTCAGAGACCACAAGATAAAACGTGACCAACTAAGTAGAAAAAGAAAGAAAAGAATCTGAATCATCGACAAAATCAAACCACATCTGTGAAAGAAAACACTCTTAATCTTGGCACTCAGATGCAAATTTTCAGTTCAAATCTAAATCTTTGAGGAAATATTGCTCCAATCTCTCTGTTACTGAAAACAGCTTACCAAATTTGCAAAGAAGTCACTGTCACCAGCTATCAACTTTGAGGACATGCTTGTCTTGGCGCAATTTATTAAAGAATCTTTCCCAAGCTTCTCAACCTAGAAAAAGAAAAAGAAAAAGAATCATGTATAAATTGACCACATCGTAATCTTACAGACCAGAAAACCAGGACACTGTTGAACCATGAATTGTAATTTTCTGGGTATGACTATGAGACCACTCGATATATGAAATATGAATTAATATCTTCTATTCCAAGCATTCTTGACTCATGATATTATCACAACACAAGAAACCCCACAAAACCATATCCACATAGATACTTCCTACGACCCTGCGTGTTTACTGTGGATTTCCTACTAAGGCCTTGCACAAGCACCACATGTTATAGTTTTACCGCATGCATGTCACTCCCATGAAAGAACCAAAAACAAATTTTGCAACTTTCAACAGAGTTTTAAAGACCAAATACAGCAAGGAAGCCTACCTTCACAGCCAATTTCTCCTCAACATATTTACATGCCTCCCTCATAGCAAGCTGTGCACATTGACATACATAAATAAATGTCAGGTGAATCTAAAAGAAATACCACCAATAATGGCCAACAAAACAATTCAAATTACGGACTTAAGACGCTGTTAAAAAGCATTACAAACTAATAACATAGAAGGGGAAAAAAGGAGATTCAAACTCACTCTGTAGCCGCTAATTATAGATGTCGGGTGAATCTTATTCCTCACGAGATCATTTGCTCTCTGCACCAATTAAAAGAAAAACATGACACATTAATAATTTATAATCCTTATGATAAACCATTATAAGACTCCTGCTTACCTTGAGCAACTCTGCAGCTACAATGACAACTGAAGTAGTCCCATCTCCGACTTCTCGGTCTTGAAGCTCGGCCAATTCTACGAGCACCTGGGGCAAAAATGAAGTAATTCAAATAAACAAAACAAACACCAACCAAACTAAAATCTCTAGACATGGAAATGTCGAAGAATGGGCAACTTTCACCAACCTTGGCAGCAGGATGTTCAACTTCTAACATCTTGAGAATGGTTGCTCCGTCATTGGTAATAGTCACATCACCAATATCATCAACTAACATCTGAAGTAGCCAAACAAAGTAATTGAAAGATTAATGAGCACACTCTAACTACAAAGGAAAAAAAATGCAAAAAAGATTCTGCTAATTGCACTTATTAATCAAACGTAGGCGACAAAAATTAAACTTTTACAACGCCGTTAAGAAATGGGAAAGTACCTTGTCAAGACCCACGGGACCGAGCGAGGTTTTCACGATGTTGGCGACAGATTGACAAGCCACCACTGTATTCCCCCCAAAATACGTACAAATACCACAACATCAATACGTATATATATATATATATATATATATAGAGAGAGAGAGAGAGAAGAAATGCGAAGTAAAGCATGAGATATGTAGAGAGAGAAAGAGAGAGCACCATTTTGAGTGCGAACGTCCTGACCGTACTGGCGGTCGCCCAAAATATCGGGGGTTTGAGCAGAAATAGCCATTTTTGTGGTTGGGTTGGAGAGAAATCGAGATAGCGGAGAAAAACCCTAACCCTATATCAGATCTGCGGAAGGTGGAGGAGAAGAAGAAGAAGACGGCGATGGCTGAAATCGAAGTGCCTCTGGAAAGTTCACAAATACAAAAACCAGGTTTTAGTGAGTTGGGACTGTTTTCTTTCGATAGTCCGCCTAAACGAAGGGGTTTTAGATGCCGCGACGTCGTTTTATTTTTGTATCAGAGCTTTTTTCCTTTTTTATTTTTAAGTGGTCGTTTCAAAGAATGAAGACTGATGACCCATTGTTTTATCAAAAAAAAAAAAAAGACCCATTGTATAGTTTTACTTATTTTATGGGAGTTTTTATGAAGATTGATGACCCATTGTATAAAATAATAAATATTCTTGGATAATGGATTATGTCGTTTTTTACACACAATAGCGACGACATGTCATTATTTAAAAGGATTCATTTTATTCCATACACTACGTCGTTTTCTTTGGCACACGACACAAACGACATAGTATACCGAAATAATTATCTAACTGACCTCACGAAAACCGCCAAAATTTTTAGTTCATAAAAATCTGCTGCTCCGCCAAATGAAAAAACTCAAAAACCTTCTCTCTCTCTCTCATCCCGATGGCTTCGTGCCTCATTCTTCCAACGATTCCCTCCAAATTCCGAAATCCCAAACACACCTCCCACGCCCCTAAAATCACCTGCTCGTCCCTCACAGCCCAATCGCAGTCCGGCAAGAAAGAGCTCCTCCGCCTCATCGCCGGCGAGGACCGAGGCCTCAAGACCCAGCGCAACCCCACGAAGCTCGCCTCCATCGTCAAAGCCATCGACGCCCTCGCCGATCTCGGCGCCGGCGCCGTCACCACCGGCAGCTCTCTCTCCGCCACGTGGCGGCTCCTCTGGACCACCGAGAAGGAGCAGCTCTTCATCATCGACAAGGCCTCCCTCTTTGGCACCCGCGCCGGCGACGTCTTGCAGGTCATCGACGTCGAGAAGAGGCGGCTCAACAACGTCATCACTTTCCCTCCCGACGGAGTTTTCTTCGTCCGCTCCGACATCGAAATCGCTTCGAAGCAGAGAGTCAATTTTAGGTACTCGTGTGATTTTTTTTTTTTTTTTTTGGAATTCAAGATCGGAAATTATTATCTCCAATTTTATGGTAATAATGTAGTAAATATGGATTTTGTCTCTATAATTTTGTAAATATAATCTATCGCTGTTTCTATAAGTTCCGACATTTACGTTCTTGGTGTGAATGTTATGATATAAACGTGTTTATTTTTTGATTTGATCCTTTTGGCTGTGTTAGATTTACAAGCGCGGTTTTGCGCGGGAAGAATTGGGAGATTCCTTTGCCGCCATTTGGACAAGGCTGGTGAGTATTTTGTTTTTGAGATTTTAGTTAATTTGTAGTTGCATATTCGGCTTTAGATCATGTATTGTGTTCCTTTTCACTAGAAAGTTTTGATTGAATTTGTTGTTGTATATTGAAAATGAAATATGCTTAATATTCCTAATCATTTCAATTGCATTTGATCTCAAAGAGGTAAATGTTTAATAATGAATTATACATTAGAATACAGGTAATCAGGGATCAAAACAAACGGGCAAAATGTAAAGTCAGAGGAATCTTTAAAATAAAAATAGATACAATAAGCTTGGTTTGGGTTTGTATTTTGGTTTTGCCTTAATATTGATTTGAACAAGTTATTTGTCAGATGTTATCATTTTATGCAGCATTTGTTAGTGTTACTTGAGGTGTATCTTAATCCTAGTTTGTGTTCACTGAAGTTCCTATTTTTCATGTGATTCGGCCATTCCACGTGATTAATTGAATTTAGTTATGTCAACGATATGTATATGACCGGAGTTTCTTTATATTTCTAACGCTTCTCTTATTGAATTTTTGTTACCAAAAGCATCTTATTTCTACAGGTTTGACACTGTATACCTTGATGATGAGATTCGTGTTGTGAAAGATATCAGGGGAGACTACTTGGTTGTAGATCGTGCTCCTTATGCTTGGAAAGAATGAAAAATAAAACTTCTTGCTCTGTTCTTGAATTACTGGAACATAACGTGAGTTCACTTATTCAAATTTCAAACACGTTTTTGTGTTTGTCGTCTATCTCATACCTTGTTGGTCTGGACCCAGTCTAAATGTGATTTTTTGCTTTTGTTCATGTTCTTAAAAGATTCGAAAATATCGTGTCGTCTGTTGCTGATTGCTTTCTGTTTCTGGTTGCAGCAATCCCCAGTTTCCATTACCCTTTCAGCCTTTCTTCTTGGTTTTTGGTGTAGTCACCATTCTATACATATTCGATTACATTGTTGGCTTGTTATCATAGCAGAATTGAAATTTGAAACTTTTTTTTTTTTTTTTTTTTTTGAAAAGCGTCAGAAAAGAAATTGGAGTAGAAATATATGCTATTACATTTCAAGAAACCGTATTTCAAAAGGCTGAAATGAGAGGTCTGAAGCACTCCCACTGTCCTTATATTCATTATTATTTTTTGTCGCATACCACTCTCAACCTCTAGATTTTAAACCTCAACTACTGGAAGATTATCTACGTTATTTTTCTGGTGACTTTCTTGTGAGAGAGAACTGATTGTTGGTATAAGTGGTCTAAAGTGGAAACTGGTTAAACTTAGCATCTTGGTAAATTGAACCTCTTGAAATTCCAGGGTTTACAGAAAATCTCATTTAGTTTGCAATGTTTGTATTATCTATTTCCATTTTTTGAGTGAATGAGTAATTTCAAGTGTTTCCTTTTTGAATGGACAAGAGCACTAAATTGCTGAAAGTAAAAAGATAAATTTGCTTGACTATCAAAGAGTTAATCTCGTATAGCCACTTTAAACTTACATTTGTTTTTGGTTTAGTTCAATGCCATTTCTTTCCAATCGCTAGTATTCTTTTTTTCACTTTATAATTAAGAATGTTGTCCAAGTTATCTATAGCTGGATATCTGAGTTTTTTAAATTATCTGTGAACCCCCAACTCTATGAATGAGATGTATTCAAATATTTCCAGTGACTGCAGATTTCGATGCTTACTGTTGCAAGCAATGTTCATGAGGACGGACAAGTTGCTGTAGAGCTCCTTTGTAACTGGAAATAATAAGGTGCAAAAACTTCTTAATTTTTCCAACTTCTGCAGTGTTTTCCCCACATGATTCTTCACGTATTTTAGAATGTGTTTGTGTTGTTTCCTCAGTTTTCTGAGTTTGGGTCCGCTTATTCTTTTTCCATGAATTTGTACTCTTTACCCACTTGCCTCCTGTAAATCTGCTCTTATCTTTTCTCTATATTTATCAGTCTCTTATGAGCATAACCCGTTGCTCCCTTTTAATCAACCATGCAAACATTTTTTTTTCAAAGGTATTTCTCTTAATTGATCACTGCTTAGCATCACAATAAACATAATGACTAACGAGGTTCTCGCATTTAAGCCCTCTATTTTGTGTATGTTGCCATGCCTACTAGATATATCCTTTGTCGTCATATTGTCTTTTTATTACATTAAGTAACGCTACTTTTGCTGTAGGATCTTATCTTAATGATGCGTCTTCCCAAATGACTGGTCTCTCCCTCCATCCATGTACATACATCTGCTTGTGAGTGTAAATTTGAATATGTGCCTTAGAACTGTAATTAATATATAATTTTCTTAATTTCTTATTATTTTCTTGCAAGAATAACAGCTCCACTTTACAGTTTTTTATTATATTCTCCCATGATTCTCAAAGTAAGTTTTGGGCTTATTTTTTTGGTAATGAATTTATCTGCAAAAGTTTCAACACCAACTTGTATGGAAATTCTTGGATAGCACCATCATACATTAGTTTTTTTACCCCTAAAATTGTGTGCTTCAGAAGATATCATATGAATTGTAAACAAAAACTTTGATAAACAGATTGAGTAATCGAGTATAAATCATAATTCAGTGTTTCTTTCAACATGTTAATATTGTATCTTTGTTTATTTTATCTTTAGACTGTAGTACCATTGCTTATACTATTTGCCAACGTGGACCTTAATTAGGCGGTGAATTTGGGTTAGGGGCTATTTAACATCTATAGCGCACACAGAGTGCAACATCAATTAAAGGTAAGAGCTGATGTTGCTGCTAACCGGGTGAGTGAAAAGCTGGAAAACAACAATGGTATAATCGGGCACTAATCAGGCATGCAGATAGGGATTTCTAATGCCTTGAGGCCATCACTTGTGGTTGGAGATTTGCCATTTATCTATAATTATTTGGTAGTTCTACTCCTAGTTTGTGTTCTTGAATGTTCGCCTTGCGATCATACCAACTTTAAGCTCTCTTTCTTTTCCTTATTTCTATCTAATTTTGGTTTAATCGTACCTACTTTTGCATTTTTCTTGCAACTCTTAAAGAGTCATGCAACCTACACTGATAGGTCCTATGTTTTCGACAACAATCAGTTTAAACTAATGTCACATTGCCATTATGCTGTTTATACGGATACATAGGTTTTGTCTGAGGAGCTTTTAGAAGTAAATTTTGGTTTGATGGGCTCAAAAACAACTGTTAGATCTGGTTTTTTTTTTTAAAAAAAAAAAATTACGCGAGGGTGTGATTAATTAATTTTTCAGATTTATCAACGCGTAATTAATCAAGCAAGATATAAAGCAGATAATAAAGGACATATGAAATGGTATCGTAGTTCGGTGCGCACACTTACATCTGCGAGACTATATCCAGACAGTGAATAATCCACTAAGTCTCAATGATTACACATACCAATCGGACTTATACACTCAAAGACTCTCTTTGATAATGTCGCTATCGTGTCGAATCTACTTGTGGTTTTGTCCAGTGAGTATCACTCGTTTTCAATTTGCACTACGAACTCTTTTCGTCTAGCAGAGCACTTTCTCCTAAAAACTTCTAATCTTTTTCTTGAAAGACGATCTCAATAACTCACAAAGTTCACAAAAAACTCACAGACTCTTTTATAAAAATATTTTATTAAACTCGTACTTCTTATGAGTTAAAATAAAGCCTTTAAATAACGCTTCTAAGATTCCACGAGACTCATTCAAATTCAAACTTGGATATGCTTCATTTTATATCTATGATTCTCTCTGAAATAATCTCACATTATCTTCACATCGTTTCCTCTTCACGCTAGATTAAATAGCTCCAAAATTTGAATTTAAATCACCAAATTATCTTAATCTAAATTCAAATTTGATTCTCTTTCAAAATAAAATCTCCAAATTGGATTTGAATTATGCACTTCAAATACTAACTTGATCTCCATGTAGACAATATGCATCTCCTTTAAGGATATTTGCATCTTCTTTTTAAATTAAAATCTGAGGATCATATCTTCTACTGCAACCCTATCTTGATTTATCAAAAATTGCTCAATTCAAATCATCAGCAACTTGAATTCAAACTTTAGAATCTGCAGAACAAACTTGAGATCACGATCATGGTTTGAATTTTGCAATAGTAAATCCGTAGCACTATCTCGAATTCAAATTCTGTAATCACCTGAATATCTATATATTATCTTAATTTAAAATCTGCACACAAAATTTACCCACAAAATACGTATGTATCTCATCAGTATCTGAAATCCGATTTTGAATATTGATATGCAATCTGAATTTATTCTCAAAACCTGTTTTTGAATTTTTACAATCACTTGTCGATAAATTACTAATAAATTGTTAACTAATAAAAATCATAACAACAACTTTTAAAAGTGTTTGGATAACATATTGAGAAGCTTGTAGGCTGTAGCTACTTGAAGCTCTTCTAGGTAATAGGCTAAAATGTCGGGATCTGGCCATCTGGGGCTTTGGCAGTGTCAGCTTCTGCATTGGCGACGGTCGGCTGTGAGGCTGTGGTGGAGCGGCGACATGGAGGACTGTGGTGGACCGATTAATTTACTTTATTTTATTCTGATGTAAAGTATAAGGATTAAAGGGTAATAAGGATGACAAAAAGAAAACTTATTTGTGGAATGGAATGGTCATTCTTCTTATTTTACAAGTGAATTACAGCTTCATTCTTCTTGTTTTAGGTAAATAAGTCTTTAGGGTGCGTTCGGTAAGAGGGATGAAAACGTATAAAAATGAATATGATATGAAAAATGAAATGTAAAGAAAGAGAATGATTGATAATTTTCTCAAAATTGTTTGATATAATAAGAAGTAGGGATGTTTTGTGTTCATTCTCTTATTTAGTATTAGAAAGAAATGAGAAGGGAATGATTTGAGTTTTATTGGTATTACAAATTAAACCCAAGATTGTAAAACTCAACTTGGATTTGCTGTGCATGTAAATTGGAGAAGGCGTTGTATGCATTTTTTGTATTCTTTGTTGGAGAAACTATTGCACCGCAGATTGTACGTAAGAATATAGACCAAACTTCCATATCCGATTGGGGAATTCATTTGGGCCCACTATTGGGAGCAAATCACGTGTAGTGCGGGCGATGGGTCCATCAGATTATGAAATTGCAAGGAAATTACGAGTAAGGTCAATTCCAATGGTTGTTATCTCCGGGCTCACGAGCAAGACTTTTTCATCACATTTTTCCTCCTCGTGGCTCCCATCATTTTGCCCTTAAAAGCAAGTCACTACTAGTGCTGTCTGTACGGAATAATTCCCTTGAATATGCGTAAGTGAAAAGGCTAGCTGCTGTTGGGAAGCTTGTGGGCACATCAAATAAGGATGGAGGAGGATGAAAAGAGTGAAATTTCAAAAGGAAATTTTTTAAAAATACCCCTTAAAATGGAGTTTTTTTTTTTTTTTTTTTTTTTTTTTTTTTTTTTTTTCTTTAAATTTCCCCTTTTTTTTTTTTTTTTCTACTCCTTAACATTCGCCTATATATTTTTAATTTTTAGATTAGAACTAGTTAAGAGATAGAGTTTTTAAAAAAATATATATTTTTAATAAGTCAGGTATTTAAAAAGGTAGAATATGTAGGGCATGTTCTTTTGTCCAAAAAATTCAAAAAAAGACAATTCAAGTTTCAACTTTATTCAAATTCTAACTTCAACTTAAGTTATAACTCAAATTCAACTCAAAAACTACACTCAAGTTACACTCTAAAAGAACAATCCCGTAATTTTTTTATTTTTATTTTTTTTCAAACGAGGTCAAAAGTCTGGGTGGGTGGATGTGGGCCAAATAGGTAGCCCAGGGATTTTCTGAGCCTTTCAAAGTTGGGCCCATTCGTTGGATGGGTTGCAATTTGAATCTGGTATTCGATGTAGATCCACACGAGAATTTATCATTTTGCTGTGGAGCTACGTATGCATCAAATTCTGGCCATGTGCATTATATGCTTTTGGAAGCCAATCCTGAAGTGGTAGGAGGCATTTCCATACAAACCATATTTGGCTGTATTTCTTCCATTAAAAAAAAAAAAGAGTTGGTTTTCTTTCTACTTCCCATTTATTGGTTGATTAAAAACTTTAAAATTCCAATTTAGTCTTTAATTTTCCTTCGAATTTGTCTCTCTCCAATTTTACTCTTTTGTTCGGTAGTAATTATTTTATTGAGAATATATGATAGGCTATGAGAAACAATTTATTGACCGGGTTTTATTTTCTATCAATTTCTATTAGTTTTTACATGCTTTTGGAAAGACATGAAAAAATGTAGGGTGCGTTTGAAACTCGTTCTAAAATGATTTTATTTTTTTGTATGAAAATAAAAATGAAAACGTTTTCAATCTCAGACATAAATTATTTTTAAAAATGCATTTGGTAATTTTATCAAGAGATTGTTTTCAATATAAAAAAACTCATTAATGTCTCTCTTTCTCTCTCTCTGCTCGAGAGAGGAGAAAACGAAAATAAAAAATGAAAAACGACTAAAAGTCGTTTTCATTTTTCTCTCATTTTACACTAAATCAAAAAATCATTTTCATTTTCATTTTTTGTCTTTATTATACCAAACGCCGTTTTGAAAACGTTTTTATTTTTTTTCTCAAAAAACGTGAAAAACAAAAATGAGATTAATTTCAAACATGACCGTAGTATTAGTAAGTCTTTATTTTTTAATTATTGAATATGTATCATGAATTATATTTTCTGATGTTATTTTGATAAGATTCAACGGTTAGTTGGTTGGATACTTTAAAAAGTTGCTTACTTTATTAGGACTCCTGCATTCAATTATCTTTTTCTGAAAACAACACATGCATTTTTAATGTCATTTCCGGCGGCTGCGTTCATCTTTCTTCCTCTTGTTTAAAGTATAAGAAAGTGATTATGCACGAGTTTCTTCATTTTTTAAGACCTGTCCTTAACCATGGGATTTAACTTTTTAATCTAATCTAATCTAATAATATAAGAAAAGAAAAACAAAACGGTAAAGAGAAGTTGATGAAACTGAGGGAAAGGAAACAATATTTTTCTGCATTAGAGAATTGTTAGGCCGTTTTGAGTGGCTCCACTTCTTTTTCAGCTTTCTTATGGAGTATTCTTTTACTTGATGTTACAATATATTCAATTAGACCCCAAAATGAAAATGGCGTGTAGAACTAGCGGATCTTTATGGGTTGTCTGCAAATGGAAGAATAAAGCAAAAGCACATAAATCCCGTCTCTATAAATAAATAAATTATTACAAAAGTAAAGAAAATAAAAGAAAAAGTGGAAAGTTCAGTGCGTCATTGTATTTGATGATACATACTTGAGCTCAAAAATTCCGTATATGACAATCACGTTTCTTATTTATG